GCAGAGCAATGTAACTTTACACCCAACAGTTCACTGCCAGTAATCCAGATTCCTTTTATACAGACCATTTCAGTGGAAGCCTATGACTAAAACATTTCTCGGCCTGAATCTAAACTTGGAAATCACGAAAAAAATTAACTTAGTCCACACACCCAATCCATTACATGCCCTTATATTCTTCAGTCATGTCCAGGACACAATATCAAACAATAGTGAGATTGTTGCATTTCAGTGACAATTCTCTATGTCCTCCCACAAGTGACCCCACATATAATATGCTGCATAAAATTAGGCTGCTCATCAATTTCTTCTCCAAAAAAATTCAGAAATGTATACACCCCGGAAAAACAATTTGTATTGATGAGTCTATCAACTTCTTCACAGGCAGACTTACTATAAAGCAGTATGTTCCCAGTAAACATGCCATGTATTGGGTGAAGTTGTACACACTGTGTGAGAGAGGTGCAGGCTACATTATTGATTTCCGTGTTTATAAAGGGAGAGGTATCCAGCTGGAGCCCCCTCAATTCCCCTTTTATATGGTTAGCAAATGAAGTATAGTTTGGGACTTTATATTACCTTTATTTCATCAGGGCTACCACCTCTATGTGGACAATTAATATTCCCCTGGATCACTATTCAAACACCGTTTTCTCAAGCAAACAGTAGCTTGTGGTACAATGCAAAGGTTATCCTCAAACACATGTCAACACAAAGCTGAAAAGGGGGGAGTGAGTTAGTCTGCACAGTAAGGAACCTTTGGCACTGACATGGAGATAAACAGAATGTTTAAAGTGTATTTCCACTTTTGCAGTATAATCTGAGAAAACCCCACTATATCTTTATGTGTTCCTGTTCACACAGCATACCGAAAAATACTTGAAAACATATTTTATACCTTTTAGATTTGTCTGTGTAACAGGTCTTACCAAGCTTCTCTCTCAATTTCCAAGTGACATGAAACTCTGTCTGTCCCCATAGAAATACTAGGGACACTCTGAGCTTCCTCTCATTAAAGGTACTGTCAGCAAAGGTCCCGCACCGCGCATGCGCAGAGAAGAACAAACCCGCGCATGCGCAGTACGCGTCCTGCCAACGGAATGACGTGCCAAAGGGCGCACCGGAAGTGACGCGCATATGGCGCGGAAAGACGCGCCAAATGCCGCACCGGAAATGACGTGCTTGATAGATTCCATGCCCTATTTAAACCCAGCTCACACGGCCGTTAGTTGCTGGTTTGTCTTTCCAGCTTGTGTGTGTTCCTTGAATCCTGTTTTGCCTGGTCCTGTTTACTTCTGAACTCCATGGATTTTGACTCGTTTCTGTTTTGCCGACCATCCCCGCTTGCTGCCTGCCTTTTTGACCTCGGACTGTTTTCTGGATTTTCCTTCTGCCTGCTCCATTCTGTACTGCATCGGATCTCCTAGCTATTTGACCCTGGCTTGTTGTGACTACGAATACTGGATTTTCCCAAAGCACTCGTGCAACTCCTTGTCTGCCTGGCCTTTGTCCCCAACATCAAAGGCCACAAGACACGAGGTGCAAGAGAAGCCTCCTCAACCTTCGGTCTCCATACTAGGTACGTGATAGGTGCCCATCCACCTTACAATTATCATTCGATTTTTGTCGTGCTTTCATCAAACCGTCGGCCGATTTCAGCATGACTGCCTCATCATGCACAGACACTACTATCTGACCAAATTTTGTCAATCCGCAGAACGGATTTTTGTTTGTGCATGTGCAGTGTTCATGTTCTGATTTATTTTGTACGAAAACATCACTAATCCATCGATTTTCGTACGATTCGAAAAAAGTTTTCTAGCCTGCCCGATAGATGAAATTTGGTCAGTTGTACAGTAATTGTGATCGTTGACTTCCCATCAACCGGCCGATTATGGTACGAAAACCCGACTTCGTTCAGAAATCGAATGATAATCGCAAAGTGTATGGGCACCTTTACACACAATGCGTCCAGATCTTTAACCCTTTGTTAAGACAGTGTTCAAATCTTGTTTAGAACTGATAATTACATTTGCCAACAGAGTACAGGCAGGATAATTATATTAGCATTAACCTGCCCAGCTCTACTTGCATCCCAGACCAAAACTCAGTACAGGGAAAGGGAACTATAGAGCGTGTATTGTGTAAGCAACAATAAAAAAAAAATAAGTTATGTATTGTAACTGAGAACATGTACCAAATATAAAATAAGTTATCCCAATTTGGCCGCAAAATATACACTGAGTGGCCAGATCAGTACATTGTTGGGCCACAAGATGACTTCCACGAGATGTTGAAAGGTGATGCGAGGAATCTGACACTGCACTGTTGCCCTTCTGTTGTCTTGTACCAGTCTTGCCACTCTCCGTTCTGCCCTAACATTGACTAGTCGCTGACGGCCACAATTCGCACGTTCAGACCCAGATTTTCGGCTGACAGTCCAGTCTTTAAACACTTTAACAACAGCTGCTCTTGAACATTTAACGAATTCTGCTGTCTGGTTTAAAAAAAAACTCTCTCGATTCATGAGTACAATCCACATATAGGAGGTGCACATTTCAGTAACCAGTTTATGAATTATACATTTTAGGGTGCCGATACCAAGTATTTGGGTGAGTACTCGCCCAAATGCTCCTGATGCTTATCCCGATACTGGAACTTCTGATATCAGGAAGCTGGGTGGCGAATCATTACACGCCGCCCGGCTTCCTGATTGGCCTGGAAACTGACCAATCAGGAAGCTGGGCGCCGAGTCATTACCCGCCCCCTGGCTTCCTGATTGTCCAGAAAACTGGCTCCATCCTTCCTCGACACCTGGTGGACACCGGGAAGTCGGGGGGGGAGGGTAATGACTCACCACCCGGCTTCCCGGCTAACCAGTCATTACACACCACCCGGCTTCCTTAATGTATCC